TTATTTACAAAAGAGATTTTCTGGTTAAGCAAACATTTCTCAGCATCCATGTAAAACCAATTTGCAAGAAATACTTTTGCTTTTTCTTTGAAGGAAGGTAATGACACTTAAATTGTACATTTGTCCCATGGGTCTTAAGTATTAGAAGTTACTGAACCTGGTACACCAACAGAGGCAAGGCTACCACAGCTCTATGTGCCCAGGTCTAGTTAGGAATGAAGCTGAGTGTGTGTTCCCAGCAGGCACACATATACACAGTACATATACACCTATTTGGCTGTCTAGGCCAACACAGACAGAAAATACAGCTTTTGCTCAAATGCAGACACCAGCAACAGCCTCATTGTTCCCTTCTCTCATCATAAAAGGCCATTAGCAGAAGATACACACATACATATATCCATTCACACACAGATATATATTTATGCAAATATATATATATATATAAACATATACAATGGGCATGCCCCCCCAGTTGCAGGCACATGTATAAATAGGTCTTTCTTTTACCTGGCTCAGACCTAAGGCCACACCAGGAGTGAACCCCAGATCCTGTGAACTTTGCAGTCACTGGATTAAACCTCCTGGTCCCCCCAGTAGCCAGCAAGTGTACCTTCTGGTCTCTGCAGCACCCTGTACATATTTAGGGCACTTCCTATGTAACTCTCTCAGTACAGGAACTGAGAATAGATCAGGTCAAAGGTTCAGCAGCAAGCTGAATCACATACAACCCTAATGAATCACAAAATAATCTAAGATTACCAATTCTAACCTTTGACTGAACAGCACCACATCAACTGGACCATAGGTCTAAATGCCATGTCATGTCATTTCTTGAACACTTCCAGGGATTTTGAAGCAAGCATTTCCCTGGGCAGCCTGTTCCAATGCTTAATCACCCTTTTAGGGAAGAAATTCTTCCTGATGCCCAACCTGAACCTCCCCTGGTGCAGCTTGAGGCTATTTCCTCTTGTCTTGTCAGTGGTTGCATAACAAAAAGGGACAGTCTCCATCTTACTGTAACTTGTTTTCAGGTAGTTGTAGAAAGCAATCAGGCTTGCCCTGAGAGTCTTTTTTCTCTAGGCTAAACAACTCCAGGTCCCTCAGACATTCCTCCATAGGACTTACTCTCTACACCCTTCACCAGCCTCAATAATGAGCCCTAGGAAATCCCAATGCTGATCCATCAGATGGATGTGACATCATTCACCACCTCTCTCTGGGCTCAGCCATCCAGTTTTTAACCCAGTGAAGAGTTCACCTGTCTATGCCATGGGCTGCCAGCTTTTCCAGAAGAATGCTGTGGGAGTCGGTATCAAAGGATTTGCTAAAGTCTACATTCACAGACTTTCCCTCGTCCACACAGCAGTGTGTTGAGTTTCCAGGTATATCTGGCAAGTTGAAGTCTCCCACAAGAACAAGGACTTGCAACAGTGAAATACCAGACACATACTCTTAGAATACCTCTGCCTCCTCATCCTGGTTGGGTGATCTATAACAGACGTCCACCAGGACAGTGGCCTTGTTAAGCTTTCCCCTGATTCTTACCCAGCCTTATCATCATTGTTCTGGAGCTCTGTACAGTCAAAACACTCCCTAATGTACAGAGCCACTCCACCCCCTCTCCCACCTCACCAGTCCCATCTGAAGAGCTCAGAGCCATTCATTGCATCACTCCAGTTTCTGTAATGGTAACTATGTTGTCACAGCATACTAGGAACTGCAAAAGTACGACACAGACTCTCTAACCTTGGTTGCAAAAGAGAGCAAGTTTATTCTTCCAGATCTTCTTTTATAGACATGTCTAAGAAGGTCCAGAAAGATAAAACTCTTATTGGATGTGAAACCAACACATCACCATCATTGGACAGTTAGGAACACCATTCCTTGATTGTTTCTTGAAAGAAAACAACAAGGCGACAAACAACACCTGCAAAGGTTGTTTTCCCTCTCCAAGGACTGTTTTGATTCCTCCTTATGATTTCTCAAGCCACACTTTCACAGGCCAGTCTGAGAAAATTATGTGACTTAGTTTCACACAGACACTGTGCTGTCTGCCTGCCTGCTTTCTCACATTCAGCATCCATACTATGTCATAATTTTCTTGGCTTCCAGCTCCTCCTCTTTGCTCTCCATACTGCATTCATTGGTGTAGGTGCACTTCAGTTGGGCTGTTTATTTCACCTCCCAACACCAGCGTGCCATCACCAGGTTCCTCTCTTGCAAGCCTTGTCTTTAGCCTCATCCTGCTCTAAAGCTAGTTAAAAGCTCTTTCAATCAGTCCTGCCAACTCATGGACTAGAGTCCTTTTCCCCCTTTTAGACAGGTGAAAACCATCTTTCTCCCCAGCAGGCTTGGTGTCCTAAAAACCACAACTGAAAAAACCAAAATTCTACTGATAGCACCGGTCTTTAAGCACATGTTGATCATGCAGGTTCTCCTTTTCTTTTCGGCATTCTTCCCTGCTACCAAAGGGATTGAGGTGGTCACCAGTACAGAGTACCCCAAAGGAAATTACAATAAAATAAAATTATTACTTGTGGAATAATATATTCCCAGGAAAGTTTAATGTAATCTCCAAAGTTTGTATAAATATGAATTCTAAACTATAATCAAAACGTTCAACATTACTCACATTTTTGTTCTTTGGAAAAGAAATTACAGTTAAATTATAAACAGGTTTACACATGTATTTAATTGACAGCTTTAAATAGTACCTTTCCTTTTTTATCACTGGGAGAGGGTAGAGGGGAAGACTGAGTCCAGTGCAGAAATTTTAATATATATGCTTATTTTTTGCAAGTCCAGAAAGTTCAAGTTGCAATTACTTGTCTATTAAGTCCAGCAAAATCTTTGCATGAAATACACCAAAATACATTTTTCAGATCTTAGCTGTGTTAAATAATGATTTGTGCAGTTCTTGTTAAAGATGCAGAATTTCCACCAGCTGAGAGGATTAAAAATAGAGAATTTTAAAAAAATACTTCAGGACAAGACTTCACTGTTTTTGTAGGATCATGGAGAATCTGAGCAACACCATTACTGCTTAAGCCATTGCTTAAATCACCGCTACCTTTCTCTCCAACATTTATAGCACAATATCAATTAACAATAGATTGAATTAGGAATTGTTCTTTAGCTTCATTATCAAGCTGAGGCAATTGTTAATTCAGCTTCTGTTTCTCTGTTGCATGGCAAAGACTTTTTAAAGGCTCACAATAAACTCTTAAAGATAATGAACCTGAAGTAGTGAAGCAGCTCCTGCCTGTAATCATTATCATGATACTTGGAAGCGTAAGTTCTTATAAACTGCCTGGATTTTGTATTTTGATTGTCCTTTAGTACAGCACAGAATTCACCAATAAGACATCATTTTTATTTACCTGTTGTTACCATGGAGTTACTTTATATAGTCACTTTTTGTTCATGAACTACAAAGGGGAAAAATACCCACAAAAATATCGGAAAAACTTTCCCCCAAAAAAGCCAGCTACAGACACAACTTATATGTTGCAGGAGCTAAGGTGAGGAAACGTTGGCTTTTTAAAAGTGACTGTAGAGTTGACATTTAAAATAGTATTTAGTAGCTATGACAAGTCCACATTGAATTGGACCCCATGTGTCATTGTGTGGGGGCACTCTGAGGAGTGCCCATGAGTCACCTTCCTTCTAGCACTTCCCAAAGCACTAGTAAGAACTAAAAAAGCAGGTGTTTTCTGTTCACTAACACTTACCAATATTCATCTAATAAGCACAGAAAACTGATTTCTTCTTTTTTAATATATGTTAATCACTCATCTTAAACATCAGCAGCACAATGTCATCAACCAAATTGATTTTCTTGTAGAATTATTAAGTAACAATTGTTAGCTCCTGATTTTTAAAATATTTTTTTTATCCACCACATCTTTTTTTTTTTAATTCTCAATTTTTTTTATACAGCATGCACAAAATTTTTTTTCTTCTTCCAGTCCATCTTGTTTGTGGACAACTCTAGCTATTCCTGGTGAGATTTTGGAAGACAGCATGTTGGGCGTGGGACTCTCAGCTAGAAGATGAAGCAACGCCTCGGCCATTTTCCTTATCAGTGCAGTCAGTGGACTGTGCCACAGAATTAATCAGAACATATTTAATGCTGCATACACTCCACAGTGGGCTATCAGCAGTATGAGCCTGAGGTGCAAGACGATAACTTGGCATATTTCCCCTTTGCTCCCATGTTAGTCTGTCAGCCCTCTTACTCAAAAAGAGATACTAATAAATTATACTACTACTGACAGCTGCTTCTGCCTACTGCTAGGCATGTCAGACTCTGTTATATCATTGACAGATAAAAGAACTCTACAGTTTTCCAAACAGTTTCCTCCAAATAGAAACCAACCACCATCACCCAGTCATCTTTCCTGAGTTCTCGTCACCCTCCCCTTTGCAAGCGAGGCAAGTGGGCAGAAATGCAAGGTAGTGCAATAACAGCTATGTTGAAGCAAGCCCTGAGTCATTTAGTGCTGTGGGGAAAAAGGAAATGTATTGTTCTTATAAAATGGTGGATTTTGGAACAAGACTGGCTGCCATTCAAACCTCTGGAAGAGGATTTAAGAGTGTACATCAACATATATGTGCACATGAATTTGTTTGTGCATGTGTGAGTCAGAGAGGAAAAGAGGAAACAACACAAACACCAGAGGAAAAATACCATCTTTTAAATAACATCATTCTTCAGGAGGAAAAAAAATATATTTAGCAAAAAAATTACTTCAGTGAAAAAAAGAAAAATTGTATTTTTTTGCATAAACTTTTTCAATGACAATAATAATAATAATAGTTCACTGTGGTTGATAACGGCTTCTCTTCATTCTTTGGGCATCTCAAAATGGTTTTTATCAGAAACTGAATGGAACAGCCAAAGTATCTGTGTTTCTTATATAAACCTAATCTAAAACATACTTAAAGTGTCTGTTTTTCTTATATAATCCTAGACAGGAATTCCCTAAATGAAAACTTTTTCACTGGATAACATTGATTTGCGAAGAGAAATATGGTGTGAGAATGCTCTGGAGTCCATTGACTTCTGCAAAGAGAAAAAATATAAAATAACCTATCCTGCTCTTTTCGATGTTTTCCAAGCAGCTTTCTTGGGATGCTAGGCCTTGAGAATCATAGTTTTTCATCTCCTCTCTGGATCTTTTCCATCTCCTGGAAGTGCCTTCCAGGTCCTCTGTCCCTTGACAAGCCATCCTGAGAATTTTCTGGCCTGGGGAAAGGTGGGTGGAGAGGAGAGCCACAGCTGCATGAGATCAGACTGGGGGTGTCTGATGCTGTGGAACAGACCTGCAGCAGCTGGACTGTGCTGAGGTCACAAGATTCCTGCTGCTTCTGTGGTACTACTTCATGGCGCTATTCACTTACCCCACGCTACCAATTGCAGTTTGGTATATATCGTCTTTCATTATTAGTTGCTTTTACTTTATGAAGTCGTCTTTTTTTGTTGGGTTGGGTTTTTTTGTTTGTCTGTTCTCCCCTTCTTCCTCTTGAACTTCCAGCTATCCTGATATTCTTTTAGTCAGTTAAATGCAAAACAGTTGGTTGGACTAATTATTTTTTTGATTTCCACGTCTGTGTTGCTCTTATAATCCAGATTTGTTGCTTTGCTTAAGAGGAAGGTAGATACAAAAAACCAACATAATTCAGTCAATAAATTTTGACTTGATTTTTAGTTTCACATACCCTTTGACAATGTGATCCATCTCCTAGGAGACAGTCAGCACCAGCAAGGAGAATAAGTGTACCTGTTTGAAAGCCAGTACTAGAAAAACTGTTATTAATTTTGTTTATATTAACCATGGCAGCAAAGATCTACCTCATTTTGTTTTGATTACCTAAAAAAAAAGGGTGTCATTTTCTGTGAGAAATGATATCAAACATTAGTGAGTTATTTTCATTATTTATTTCTAAATTAACATCTTTTGTTAGTGAATACACTAGTGTTGTAAATAAACACCAATTTCTACTAAATACAAAATTTTCAAAAATTTTGATAATATTTTTAACTAAAAGCACAAAAGCATATGGAAAATGTAGAAAATAAAAATATTTCACATGCTTTTGAGGAAAAATATTAATAAAGTATATTAATAAAAAATATCTGTTTCAAAGTCATATAATTTCTAATAATATTAATGAAGTCTTTTCCATTTCTTTAAAATTTCAGTAGGAATCCTACAATGAAAATACAAAGTTACACATAATTGCTTATTTTTTATTTTTTTTTTTAGTATCTGACCAGGAGGTATCAACCACAACCCTCACTGACAAGGAGTTTCTTTAAAATTACCAATTTGGACAGTATTTTGGTCTTATGATTAGGAACTCCACCAAGCATTTACGCTCCTACAATATGAATGCTTCCATAAATAAGAAATAAGGGTTTTTCTGCTTGTGAAGAAATTAGCAGGTGAAAAAATGCTCCCAGATTTTGTCACCACAAAACTTACCTTAACTTTGTGGATCACTGTTCAGTGATTTTTATTACCTAAATAGCAGGGTAATGAATAACAATTAGAGTAAAATACTTTCAGATAGGGAAAAAAACACCCCTTATTCTTTTAGTAAGCCAGGTTGGTGTGAAAATGTGGTGCAGTTCTGTCTTGCTCATGCTTTGAACAGTTAAATATTTTAGGTGGAGATTTTAAGCAGAAGCACAAGTCAGCTACAAAGGTTTTCACAGAGCAGATTTACTGCCAAATGTAGAAAGTATATAAAGATGTGATATAGCATATTGTCAGAGCTATAGGATGAGTTCTCTACTGGTTTCCATCTATACCACCTCATGATTTCAGAACAAACATGACTAGCAATAAGCACAGTAGTCTTTAATTTTCAGAACAAACTTGTCTAAATGGTTACAGAAAATGGAAAAGTTTTTTACAGGGGGAATGTTAAGTTTTTGCCAGTGTTCGTAAGCACTACTGACAATAGCAAAACATGAGATGGTATGAAAAAAATCCTATCATAATCATTCACATTTTAAATAGTTTGATATTTTAATAATATGAATTGACTGTTCTGCATAGAACAGGTCGAATAATTATTTTCTTTAAACAATATAAAATAATATAAGACCTTGATTTAGAAATTTAGAAATATGAAGAATATTTTATGGACACCCATTTTACTGGCTTTTGTACTCATCCTTTAAAATATCACCTTGTTTATCATCTGAGATACTGTAATCCCTACTTGCAAATCTTCAGTCTTGATGAGATGGTCCATGTGACTTCTCAGCTGAGTATTTTATCATGTTGGAAACACCGATAACAGGTGCCAGGTTGTGCCAAGTCAGCAGGGAGTGAATGAGCCTATTTAGCAGGGAAATGCTTCCAGATTGCACCATTTCTGAGAGGTCATTAGAGAGGGATTCACAGCAAGGATTGAAAGCCTATACCTCACAGGAAGCCCAAAAGACTCTGAGATGTAGGAAGCAGCCAGCTAGGTTACTTCCTAAGGACCAGAGGGCATTAGAGAGATGTTTCTTCCTCTTTTCAATCCATCAGGCAAGAAAAGGGCAGTGCCAGGATCATTTGCAGGAGATTTAAAGGAGCTGACTAAATTGTTATCAGGCAAGCAGTATGCAACACCTGGAGCATTTGCAGGAGATTTAAACTGCTCTAAGGAGTGTGGCCAATAGGGGTGTGGTATGGCACATCATGTGGGTAGGGTGAGTCCATAGGGAGAGTCAGAAGGGTGCAGGCACTCACCTGTGTGGGTTTTGTATTAGGTGGGTGTGGTGTTTTGGTAGGGTTTTGTCCTATTTTGCTTTTTCTCCCCTACTTGACTGGATCCAGCAATGGTTTGCAAGCAGCCAGAAACCATTGCTACTGCTGCTACCAAGTCTGTGGTAACCCTAACATGCTCCCCTAGAAAGACCCAGCTGTCACTGTCTGCAGGGTGTCAGTTTGGTGTTAGTGCTTCAGAACATTGCACAAGACACCTGTGTGCATTGTGAGTTGGTGAATGATCTTCTCTGTCTGTCACAGAGCTCAAGGAAGAAGTGGAAAGGTTAAGGAGTATCAGAGAGACTGAAACAGAGACTGGTGGACTTGCACCCTTCCAACCCTGAGAGAAGCTCTGCAGAAGTCAAAGGAGTCCTGGCCCTCTTACCATCAGGCAGAAGGAGGACACCTAGTAGATCTGGGGGAAGAGAAATGAGTTCCTGGTAAGGGAGATTAGAGCCCACTCCAGACCCCCAGATACCCTAACAGAATAGGTACAAGACTCTGATCTAGGGGGTCAGGCAGATGATACTAAATTAAAAAACCTGTCTGCAGGGTCTCCCATTTGTGCTCTATCAGATGGATCACAGCCTGTTATTAAGAAGAAAAGAAGGGCTGTTCTACAACTTAAAAATTACTTCCATCAAGTCTTAAATACCACCATCCTTTATACCTGTTTCTAGAGTTGGGGGTGTTTTTTTTTAATTGGAAGATTTTGGATTCAGACACTTGCAATTACCCAAGTGAATCCTTCACTTTTTAAAAAAGATTTTCAGATGAAAACTTGTGCAATAAGTAGATAACTAACCAAGAGTCAATTATTTCATATATTCCATGTAGTTTTAGATTTAGCAATGCCACCAAGTGAGATCTCAATAGTGTTTGTAATGACTTGACACTGCATGCTGAGTTTGTTACCCATGCAGTTTTCTTCTGCTCTCTTACTGCACTGACTTCCATGAAGCACTGGAGACAATTTAACCTTGCTAATTTTTTAAAATTTTCTCCAAAAGCACCTAGAGTTAATAATATTATTAATATATATTTTAATTGTGAAGCTAAGTATGATGTTCTTGATTCTGTGTAGAATGTTTACTAAAAATTATCACTTTCAATTGCAGAAATTTAGTTTATAAAACCATTTGTTGTTTCTCATTGTTTCTTTTATGAACAAAATTTTATTGTTTAATATGTACAGTGGGAATTTTTCTAAATAATAGTTTCTAAATAATAATGATATATTAATAATAGTTTTCCAATGTCCTTTTTCTTGCTATAATACTGTTTATAAGTTCAAATTTCTATTTGTTTTAGTACTTTTCTGTTCAGTTTTGCCATTTGTCAATATTTTTCAAAACAAATATGTGTAATTTTTTTCCCATTGTAATGCAGATAAAGGCAGTTATGTAAAATGCAGTCTTAGACAGTGCATGTGATTTATCCCTTAATATTCTCTCCAGCAGCTAACCTCAGTCAGCATGAAATATTTTCTGTTGCTAAGATAGTGTGAAAAAAGCCTGATGTAAAAAATTAGATAAAAGATAAAATAATGTCCTCTTCCCTGTTGAATGCCTCTCCAGTTGTGTTATTATTGATAATTGCGGTTACTGCAGCTATCCCCTGGGTATGGGAGTGGGAAATATTTAAGGCTTCTTGGTATCTAGCCAGAAGCCTGACTTTAGATTTGTCTTAAGGCCTACTGTCAGAAGACATAAAGAAATCCAGAATTTCATTTACATATTGCTAATTTATTTATATGATTTGCTTATTTATGTAAAGCCTTATGTTTTAGTCTGACTAAATTTATTGAAAAACAAGAGATTTCTCTGGGCTAGTTTTTGGTTTTAATATTTTTTTTCATCTCTGGAAAAATCAAGTTTCTTCCCCTCTCTGACACACATCAATCATGGGACCTCAAGATTTGATTATTTCAACCACTTTTCAATTTGAATTTTGTTACAGTATGTAAATTATTCTTGATATTATTTTTAAATGCTAGCCTGACTACTGTATGACACAAGTTCTCAGCTCTCTGAACTGAATTCAAGGTGCCTTATTTACTTTGTCTAACTCATACACAAAATGAAGCTGCCCCCATCAGGGAAAATACAGTCTTTTGGGGCATATCTTGTCTGAAAAAGAGCAGAAAAAATTTCCACAAAGCAGACAGAATGCAATAAGGCTCCATGAAGCTCCTCAGGGATAGCTCTACCTGCATGAGTGTCTGTCTCTCACATGTGAATGTATAAGAAAGCATTAAGGAATATTGCTCGAAAGTGGCTGAGATTGGTTCTCTTAATATTAAAAGAGAAGATCAAATGATAGTTATTTAAACAATACAGTAAATTGTAAGGAATGTATTTATCAAATTATTATGGGGCAATGTCCAGTGAGTTTTGTAGATTTTATGTGAAATCAACATACTATCAAGTAAATCAATGCATAATAAGCTAACAAGAAAGGAATGAAAACCAGTGTATAATATAAAAGAATATAATAATTATATAATATAGATATCATATATATATTTAATTAAATATAATACTGTTAATATAAATATATGCTATTGTGAGGAAAATGTTCAGGACTAGGTATCATTACAACATAACCACTAGAAAAAGCAATTCAACTCATTTCTTTATCATTTTCTGTAAGGCCATCAACCCACAAGATTTTTTTCACAGATATACTGAGGGTGAAGTAATCACTAGACTCACTGTTTCACCTAATGGCTTTCTTATAAACTTGTTCAAGACTTTTGTTGTTGTTTAACCCCAGCTGGCAGCTAAGCTTGAAGCCTCCCACTTATTCCCCCTACCCTCCCACCACATTGGAATGGGGAAGAGAATTGGAAGGGTAAAAGTGGGAAAACACTTGTGTTGATATAAAGACAGTAAAATAGATAAAGCAAAAGCTGACCACAAAAGAAAATTTAAACCAGGGATTAATTCACCATTTCCCATGGGCAGGCAGGTGTTCAGCCATCTCCATGAAAGCAGGCCCTTATAACGCATTAACAGTGACTTGGGAAGACAAAACACCGTCATTCTGAATGTCCCCTTCTTTGTGCCCCATCTTTGTGTGCTGAACATGATGCCCTATGGTATGTTATACCCTTTTGGTCAGCTGGGGCCAACTGTCCCAGATGTGTCACTTCCCAGATCCCTGCAGATTTCCAGTCTGTTTTCTAGTGGGGTGGGGAAAGGAAAAGGTCTTGACCCTGTGTAAGCCCTATTCAGCAATAACTAAGACATCCCTATGTTAATAATATTGATACCAGTACAAAGCAAAACCCCAGCCCCTTTCTAGCAACTATGATAAAAGTTAACTCAATGCCAATAACAATAGGCACAGTTTACCAGAATTAGCACTGTTTTATTATTATATTATTTATTCTAAATAATTTATTTTTATTCCAGTTTAATGTTTATTGACATTAGCACCTTTTGAACAAAACATTTCCATGGAAAGTTAGATTTATAAGTAATAGATACTGTGGTGTGTCTGTCTTATATTCTGCTGACTTTAATATTTATTAGAAATAGCTGAGCTCTACAAAGACAAATCTGATTATGTCTCTAAGGTTTGCATGTCAAGCTCCATGCAACAACTGATTTTTGTGACAATCCATTGTTGTATGAAACATAATTTTGAAGTTCTGTTCTCAGCACAGCCTTCTACTGCTTAGAAATTACATGATCTTTTTCTATGCCTTTTTTTGCCCCTTTTACTATGGCACTAATCTCATATATTGGGATTACTTCCAACAGCATTGTTTTATAGCTCTGTCTGTGAGGTAATATGAGAAATACAAGAGAGAAAAATAGTAAGAGGAATCTTTTCTTGACACCAGTTGATATATGTGGAGTTACACAGAAGTAAATCATTATGCAGGTTCTCTTCTCATGATTAAATCATGTAGTATAAATTGACTGTAGTAATTAGAGTACCCTAAATTCATTTTTAAATCGTTATTAAGGAAGGAACAATATCTGGAAATACAAACACTGAGAGGCTGGGGAAGAAAGTGATGCTTTTCTCAGTTCATTGTTACCAGACTCCAGAAATATATACTTTACGAAAACTTAATTGCACACCGGGATAATATGTATGCTGATGAGAAATTTGGAATCAGTGAAGTGAGCCACATCAGAAAAAAGCCATAAAATAATTTTGTTTTTCAGATACAGATGAAAATCTGAATACAGTAAAGAAATAAAATAATTCACTACTATGAAAGCAAATAGAAAGTTATAGAGAATTAAATACAATATAATGTCAGATTAGAGACTAGCAGAGAAGTTTTAATAGAAAATAGTATCATTCAAACTGACAGGCACAGGAATTTCTGATGAGCTCATGAAGTGGGGATAAGTTCAGCTTTAAACACAGGTGAGCAACATGCCAATTTCCATTCAAATTCAATGATGTGAGAAGAATATGATGACCATGTCTTCAAATTTCAGCAGGGAGAAAAGGCTTCCTTGGCCCTCTCAGACTGGGTAGCCTGTCTTTTTAATCCACTTTATATGTATTCTATATAGGTGTGAATTGAGCTTAAATAAATTATTTCTAATATATATTTCTCCAGCTAGCATATGCAGTCAATGTTAAAAAAAAAATAAAAAACAAACCAAGAACAAACCACAAAAGCAAACAGGAACAAAACAAAATAGGAGAGTAGTATCTCTAAAACCTGTCCTTGTAATTCAGTACAGCAGGAGATGCAGAAAGGTCTGCTGGAGAGCCTCTTCAGGATATACACAAAATTTGTTCATGTAGAACTACTTAATAAGTGAGTTATAAGATTTAAGTCTACAGAACAATTTTTTTTTCCCCTAACTAAATGAGTTATATA